TGAGTTCAAGAGAAAAATGAATTTAGAAGGAGCTTCATTTATTAAAGGGTAAGAACACATGGTAAAAAACTAGATACAAGAAATAGAAAATAATTATTAAGCACTTCCATTCATATTCTTCTGGTCAGAAACACTATAATGATATTAACATCAACAAACTGTCAACAACAAACATAACTATGGTGCTTCAGAAAGCTGACTGATGTCACCGATAGCTAACCAAAGGGTGTTTTATAGTGGAGTCCAGTTATGGATAAGGGATCAGACATCGTTTATATCTTCAACAAATCTGTAACATAATGATGGATGGCAGTGAACACAAAATAGTGAAAATGTTATTAATGAGGTGGAACACAGAATGGGGGAGAGAAGTCATACTTTATGTAACAAATATGGAAAACTCCAAAAAAGTATAGCAAGGCATTCTAGGATGTGTAGGTCCATCCTCCCCTACGTATCCCTTTTGCAACAGGAGGCTTGACCTTCTTGAGCCTCAAGGGGGAAACTCCCATAGCTTTGCCTTGACAAAAAAGTCTCCTCTCACTCCCAGTATATACCTGCGCTAACCTCTTTCATGGAGCTGTATTCCTCAAGAATTCATTAATCAAGACACGACTACCGTGTCTGCCAGCCTGTGGGTTCTTCCAGGAAATGATACCAATTACTTTCTCTACACATAGAGGCCACTTTAAATATCTGACAGAGGAGAGAGAATGGAGAAGCACTACATCAGAAATTAAAGGAACAGGTTTCTGAGCACCTGTGTCTTCATTTGTTATGTGGGAATGATAATACGTTACCCTCCTACCATACCAGGATGTTATATATATATACACTATACACACATATACACATGTACACACATAGCCTTTATTTGTGATACCCTATTTTGCCTCCCACAGAACTTTAATAACTGGTTAAAGTTCCATCCAACATGTTCTATTCTATACCCTACTCACTTGATTACATAGTTATCTTTCCAATAAAGTCTATATATGTTTAGTCTTTGAATATGCCACAGACATGAACACAATTTCACATAATAAATACTCTCTCCATATAAATACTTATTAAAATCATTATTGTAGTATTTATTCCTTTTAGAAATGTAAATGCCAACAAATCTTGACATTTTACATTTATAAAGAAAATCTTATGTAAAGCTATCATTAAGGGACGCCTGGGTAGCTCAGCTGATTAAGTGTCTACCTTCAGCTCGGGTCATGATCCCAGGATCCTGGGATTAAGTCCTGCATAAGGCTTCTTGCTTAGCAGGGAGCCTGGTTTTCCCTCTGCCTACTGCTCCCACTTCTTGTACTCTCTGACAAATAAGTAAATAAAATCTTAAAAATAATGAATAGAATTATCATTAAATTTTGACATCCTACAACTAATAAATAATTGGGAGCCCTTTAAACTAATTAAAGATCATACTATGACAAGACTTACATGATTTTTTTTTTTAAATGAGGACAATAATGCAAATGTCTCTTTAAAGAGAATTAAATGCAGGACTAATATAATTACCCCAGGTGGAAATCCAGGATTTGAACAAAAGCAAGAGGTTAGCACTTCCATTCCTACGATAACTTCTGCAGCAGGCAGGAGCTGAGACTTGATTTAAATCTTAGTTATAATACATTTTAATTCAATATTTTAATTTAATTCAATTTAATTCTAGTTCATTTTAATTCACTCTTTTCATCTTGTTTTGTAGGTGACCTCAATTTAACCTCAAGTTTAGGATTCTTAGAAGCCCTCCACAGAGCAGCTTTGGAGCAAGAAGAAAGCTGCATCTTGTCCCTTCAGATTTTAATTTGTAAGCCCAACACCCATAGGTACTTTCTCTGAATAGCTGTGGCCTACCACTCCATACCCTGCCACAACCTACTGCCATAGCTAAATGATCACCTCATTTCACACCAGAGAAAGTACTTGGTAACAGACCAATAACTGGATTAAATAAACTGAGATTGCCAAATAAGCCTAACTGTGAGGGCAAATAATTATAGCTGTATTCTTTTGCTACAGTCACCATAACAATAATACCAGCTTGGATAGATTCAACAATATAAATGTATTTTCTCATAGTTTTGGAGGGTAGAAGTAAAAGATTAAGGTGTCAGTAGGGTTGGTTTCTTTTACAGCCTCTTTTTGGCTTGCAAATAGTTGCCGCCTTCTTTTTTTTTTTTTTAAACCATTATTTTCTCTACCCCATCCTTTTTTTTCCCTTCAAAGCACTTAATTTTTTTAACATCTTAATTTTATTTTACTTTTTTTCATGTTCCAAGAGTCATTGTTTATGCACCACACCCAATGCTCCATGCAATATGTGCCCTCCTTAATACCCACCACTAGGCTCACCCATCCCCCCACCTCCCTCCCCTGCATAATCCTCAGTTTGTTTCTCAGAGTCCACAGTCTCGCTGTGTCCTCACCATGGTCTTTTCTCTGTGCATGCTATCTTTGGTGTCTCTTTTTATGTCCAAATTCCCTCCTCTATAGGGACACCAGTTAGACTGGATTACAACCCACTTTAAGGAACTCATTTTAACTTAACCGTCTCTTTAATGGACTCATCACCAAATACAGTCACATTCTGAGGTACTGGAGAGTTAGAGCTTCAACATATGAATGGAGTGGGGGGGATACAATTCAGCGTATAACAATAGCTAACTAGGTTCATTTATCTCTGAGAGGCACTAATTTAGGCTTTGTTCATCTTGGAACTCAGACCATCTCTTTCAGCCATCCTTCCCACACTTACACTGTACAGACAGAGCAATTTTGGAGATTAAGTTCTATGCAGCTCTCCATCACATGGGTCCCCTTGGGTACTTTATAAATGAAGACACTCATGGTGCCCCACCAGTTGCAATATGGTTAGCTGCTTGAGTCACCAAAAAGTTGTCCAGCAAGAAATCTTATAGATTGTCTCTGAAACCAGTGATGCTTTTGCAATTTTTTTCCCTCCATGAGACACCAGCTCACTTTGAAACATGCCATGGCACATCTGGGAATCCCTCCGACCTTTCTTGTAAAGTACTGTCAACGGTGAGGAAAGAAATTATTGGAGAAAGTGCTCAAAGGCTCTTTAATGTTTTCAAGGAGCAATAATAAAAGAGTTAGGACAGGCAACAGAGCCAATACTTGCAGCTTTCAGTGGACCATTTCCCCCTTAAATACTATTGTATATGACATGTTAAACAAAAGGTTTAAAAGAAAATAAGCCAAACTAGTGGTATCCAGGTTGATCTTTTCAGTTGAGGCATCAAGTTTCATGGAAGATGCACCTTATTATGACATACCTATGGTCAGATTGCAAAATACACTTTACTTTACCAATGTCATTTTTATAAAGTAAATTAGAATCTCCTCTTAAAAGTGCCTGCAAAATCAAAAAACTGTATACACCATTCTCAAGGGATTCATGTTTTCATCTTCAAAAGGCCATTTATCTTACATATCTAGTGTATCTTAACAGCATACAGCAATTAACACTTCATCTTGGCTAGTGTTAGGACCAGCAATATTAGGAGTGAAGAGAGAATATAGCTTATCAGTCACAGTAATCTGCATCTATCACCACACTAAGATTCAGTCTATTGCACATAAACAATTGGCCTTGAAGAAACTTTTTTGGTAGATCCTAGTTTACTGTTTAATTCATTGCCAATAAAGTAAGAACCCCCCTCTAAGTAGTTTTCCTAAATATGGGGAGGCCTAGTATTACCTGTGCCATATAAACTTTCAAAAGACCAGCAGATAAAGAAGCCACATCAACAGCAACCTACTTAAGTATGCACAATGCCCAAAGAATGACAACTCAAAATTCTGGGCACTATACTAAGAAACAACTCTTTCAGCACAGATGATACTTAAGAAATAATACTTTCTCTGAATTTAATTAGCCAAGGTCATTGGTTTCACCGAAAACACTGAAGGAAAAAAAAATAATGGTTTATGAACAGCATGTATTAAAAGAAATCTTTATGACTCTTACTAGGTAAACAAATTGTTCAACAACCCCACTAATGTGTTAAAACCTCTCCCTTTCCCCACAATGGTAGTCCAACAGCCTAAATGAATCCACATGAATGCCGATGAATCAAGCCGACTCCTCAAAACTTGTTTGTGGTGCCAAGAATTGTTACTTACTAACGGTTTAGGTCGTAAATTTTTTGGAAATCACATGTCCTCGTATGCTGCTGTGTCTTTACTCTTCCTTTCCCTTTCTTATATTTTTTGCCCATTGGTTTCCTGACACTTCCATTTTCTCTTTTTATGTTCCTGTTACGCTTACCAAACGGCAGAAACCTGGGGTGTAACTGATCACATCTCTAGCAATCTTTTTCTTATCCTAGGGCTTTTGAGACCCAGGTGCTGCCCAAATATTACCTATTCAGATCTTCCAAGCAAAGTGTGCGTGAAAAAGCCTCTCTTCACCCTTCATTTTGTGTCTATTTAACTTACGGCACTGTAGTTGCCCAAACGCAGATATTGACCAAGAATTAGGTTTCCAAAATGGCTTTGCTCCTTTCGAGCTGGCATGAGGTCTATAAAATACAATTTATTTCCACTGCAACCAACCCTTCTCTCTATCCCAAATGTTACCCTGTACGTAGACAGCTGAACCTAACCCCGTGTAGCCAACCGAATCAAAGCTGCTAAATTGAGTAGAGAGAAGGCACAGCCGTTGAACTGATGTAAAAAGAGCGTTAAAAGGCAAAAGAAAAAACACACGCCAAGCAGAAACCACACGAAGCAAAAACCCGAGGGGCGGGCGTCGCCCACAATCCCGCCGTCCCGCCGCCTCGCCGGCCGCGAGCACGCCTCCCCGCCGCGGCCACGCCTCCTCCGACACCCGCCCCGCCCCGCCGCGGCCACGCCCGACGTGAGGCGCGGGAGCCGCCGGGCCGGGGGCGGGGCCTGCGCCGCCCCTCCCCCCCGCCGCCGCCGCCGGCGGCCTCCGCGCGGGCCTCCCAGCCCGTATTCCACTCACTTTGTTCTCCGCCTTTGTCCTAATCCACACCAGCAGGTGGAGCCGCAGTTAAAGTTTCCGAGTCCATTCCGGGAGCGGGAGCCCATCTTGCTCGCCGCCGAGGCCCTCGCTGGAGGAGGAGGGTCAGAGCTCGGGTGCAGCCAATCGCGGGCAACGCTGCTAGTTATCAGAGCAGAATGGGCTGTAGTTTAGTGAAATAGGAAAGCTGCAAAACACTGTGGAGTGCTCCCGTGTAAATAAAAAGAGGAAAAAAAAGTTTCTCAAGTCGCCGCTGCACGACGTCGGGCAGGCGCCGGGGCGGGGGTCTGCGCTCTCCCAAGCGGGCGCGCGCTGGACTTTATTGTGCCGCAACAAGCCCCCGTTCCCATTGTTTGTGTTTTTTTCAAAATATGGCAAAGGTTCAGGTGAACAATGTAGTGGTGCTGGATAACCCTTCTCCTTTCTACAACCCGTTCCAGTTCGAGATCACCTTCGAGTGCATCGAGGACCTGTCTGAAGGTGAGTCGGGCGCCCGCCCGCCGCCGGGCTGTCAGTTGCGGGCTGCAGACGTTGAAAGTTTCCCGGGCCCGGCCTCGCGCGGGCGGCCGGTGCTCGGCGCCGGACGGGCGGCGGGCTCGGCTCTGCGGAGGGAAACTTGAAGTTGATGGACGACGGCCGCCGAGGCGCGCGCGGCGTTCGGCCGCAGCCGGGGCGCCTGCCGTGGCTCAACTTGCGAGGAACTTGTTCAAGCGGAGGTAGCCATGTTGTCAGCTTTGTCTGGCGGGCGGGCGGTTCGCGAGACCCGCACTCGCGCCCGTGGCGCCGGCCGGGGGTCGCGCCGGGCTGGCCCAGCGCCGCGAACGGCCTCCGCGGCCCCGGCACGGAGGCTGGGAAGGGAGAGGCATGTGTGTGGTCGCGCCGGCGAGTTAGCAGCGGAGCCATCTTACCAAGAGTAGAGAATTGGGCCACCGACCCCGGCGTCACGACGCCTCCTCTCCGCGCCGCGGGTGACGAACACGGCGCCCCGCCTGCCCACCTTCCTGCCCCCGAGGGACAGGCAAATCCATTTTTAGAGCTTACGCCGGAGTTGCCCCACTCTCTGGGGTGGCCGTGCCTGGCCGCTCCGGGGAGGAGAGCGAGGCTGTCCTCACGCTGATTTCTGGCTCCCTGGACCAACCAGCGGGGGAGGCGGGCGCAGGCTCGGCCCCTCGGCGGCCGGCGCTCCCCAGGGACGGCGGGTGCTCCCCCGCGGCACTCCCCGGCCGGCGCCCGGGATGCTCGGGGCGCCCGGGGATGCTGGCGCTCAGGCTCGCCCAGACTGGCGGGGACTCACGTTCGTAACGACGGAAACCTCCTCTCCTCCCTCTCAGGAAGAAAAATACTGCTAAGCTAGAAAGTTACATTTAACCCAAGAGCAGAAATAAGTAAAACACTGAAATAATTTCCAGGACTTAATCACTGGCTTCTCAGTAGTCTGAGAGACTTTTCTTCAAGAACGTGTTGAAATCTAATTAAAATAACTGCACATCCAAACACCCTAAGCATAAAACACAAAAGTGGTCTAGGAAATAACAGGTAAAGTCCTGATAGCAATGCAAAGATTTTTACAATTTTTTCTAGGTTCGTTTTAAGGACTCCAAAGATATTTTTTAAATGTGCAGTAATAAATATTTAGAAAGCTAAAACTTGCCAAGGTTTTTATCTTTGCCCTTAGATTTTATTAATCCAGTGCTTTCCTTTTAAATTTGAGGAGAAAAAATTCAACTTCATCAGTGATCATTTTACAGTTAAATAGCGGACATGCTTATTTAAAGTTATAAGTATGTTTAACAAAAATGCATTTAAAATTATGCTAACCATGGTATATAAAGTATTTCACTTAAAAATTAGTTTTTAATCTCTGCAAGATATATTTTATGTAGGGTGCCAAAGTTTTCAGAATATAAAAGCAATACCTGCTTATTGGAATAAACTTTTAAAAAGTTGTGCATACATTTATAAAGTAACAGTCCTCTGTACTCAAATGCCTTCCACCATCGCCTGTAATTAACACTTTAATCTGTGCTCTTCCAAGAAGTATTAATGCATACATAAGAATATGCATACATATGTATTATGTGTATTCCATATTTTAAAAGACAGTTTATTTATTAAACTAATTTCTATTAGGCCACTGATAATAAAATTAAAGGGGATTTTTCTTATTACTCTGAAACCGTTTGATTACTTTCCCAGAGTACTACTATAATCATTTCAGCTACCAGGTCAATTTTTCATACCCAACAGTAAGTTTTCCTTTTTATTGCCAATTATATATAAAAATGGGCAAATGCAAGAGAAACCATTGATCAGTCCATTCCAACGTACTATATTATGGGTATTTCTCAAATGAGGCCTTGCATTTTTTAAGAGCCAGTTTTGGACAAGGATGATAGATGATTCAGGATGTTACAGGGCTTTGACATTGCATGGTTGAAACCCACCATTCATTTAGAATTATGTTCCCATTTTTAACTGGCATCTATTCAGAACTTGGCTGAATCATGTCAGAGTTTTTATGATACTAGTGTCAACAGTACACTTACTTCCACTTTTACACCTCTTCCTAGGGCACCTATACTGGTTATTTAGCATTTTTCAAAAGAGTTTAAGCTGAGTCATACTGAAGCTGCAAAGGAATCTTTCAAAAAGGTGCCATGCTTGTGTACTCCACCTAGAGGCTATGTGGATTAAGGAAATTAAGTTTATTTAGCAAAAGCTTATAAGTTCCATACTTTTATATTGCAGTTCTTTTAAAAAAAAAAAAAATCTATACTTAAAATGAAACTACAGAATATTCTGAAGAGAAATTTTCACTTCATAATTTTGTCTTAAATTCCAAGCCAGAGGTTGGCCACCATTTTACATGCTTAAACTTGATAGGAGACCCAGGATGTGTTTGATCTGATGGTCCCCAAGCTTGTACAAGTTTTGATTGACCTTCATGCTAATCTTGGGCCCTCTGTAGACTGTTGATTCTTTGTTTCTCTAACAGAATGGAGCCATTAAGTTGGTCAGTATCAATAATTCTAAGCTACTGTCAGCTGAACCCTTACAATGTACCAGAATTGAACGTGGTGTTTCATCTTTTTAAACTTCAGGCTTGTTCTAATTCCCAAAGATTACATACTTTACACTCACCACATACCTTCCCAAGTACGGTAATTAGTTTAAAATTCCCTTGGTGACTTCCCTCACTTCCAACCATAATTGCATATACTTGCAATTGGGGTTACCATGATTAAGTGAAACAATTAGTTAACTTTTTAAATAAATGAATAAACCCCAACAGATAACCTGTGTATTTGATTCTATCCCTTCTTTTCCTTTGTATACAGGGGACAGGGGGATGAAAGGAGAGTTTAAAAAAAAAAAAAAAAAAAGAATAAGAATAAAACAACTGATGCTAATTTATAAATAAATTACTGAGCATTTTAAAGTCAGTAGCTTCAGCAAGGATCCATTAGCATAAAAATTAAGGTACAGGTGTTCACTGAGCTACAGCCTGTGCTCCTTAAGGTAGATTATCTTTCCATGGCCTCTGTCCGCACCCATCTCCCTCCACAACCCCCCAACACCCAGTTAAGTTCCTTTATCCCACTATTCATTTGAGAGCCAGAAACGGAAGAATTATTTCCTAGTTTTGGTTTTGGAAGGAGCCCAGGCTTTGAAGTTGCAGAAACAACTTGGGTTCTGATTCTTCGGTTTGGTGAATTTGGGTAAATTACTTAGCTTCTTGAGGACTCAGCTTCCTTGTTTGCATAATAGTATAATTAAATCTATATGATAAAGCTGTTGAGATTTAAATAACAGGGTGAAATTGATAAGACCAATGCCAGCACATAGTAGGTCTTTTATAAGTATATAATTCTTGACTATGTTCCTATGCCAGACCACAAATGCCTTATACCATTTACAAAGCCAAGAGGACTATGTATATTGGTACAAATAAATACATATGAAATGAACAAAATACAAAAACTGCATGTGACAATTACCAGACTACCCTCAATTGGCTAGTTTAGTAGGTTTTACACTCCTGTCATAAGTTTGTCCACTTAGCTTCTGCATTTCCTACATCATTGATACCTTTCTAGTAGATATCTCAAACTTAACATGTCCAAAACTAATTCCTGGTTGTTTTTAATCCCTACCCCTTGCAAAAAAGGGAACTGACTCTTCCTACCTTTATCTTCAAGATTTATCCAGAGCGTGACTGCTTCTCATCCCCGTGGCTACATATGGTCCATGCTACCATCAGTTCTTGGTCTCAGTTGTTAAAAATATCCAACTGTTTCTTCCCTCACCATCTTACAGTCCATACTGAACACAGGATCCACAATGATCCTTCTAAAATGAAAGCTGGATCATGTTATCCTTCCAATCAGAACCCTCCCAATGGCTTCCCATGCTACTTATAAAAGAAGTCTTCAATGACGGCCTTCAAAACTTTGCATAATCTGGCCATGCCCCTCACACTCAATCTAATGGTCAGTTATTTTCCCCTTTATCCAGTTTGCACCAACCCTGACCTCCTTGCTTTTTCTTTTTTTAAGATTTTATTTATTTGACAGAGAAATGACAAATAGGCAGAGAGGAGGCAGGCAGAGGGAGAGGGGAAGCAGGCTTCCTGCTGAGCAGAAAGCCCGATGTGGGGTGATCCCAGGACCCTGAGATCATGACCTGAGCCACCCAGGCACCCCTACTCCTTGCTTTTTCTTGAGCAAGCTAAGCATGCTTCTACTTCTAAATATTTGCTATTCCTTCTAACTAGATATCCATATTGCTTCTTCATCTTTTAATCTTGATCAGCAAATAAATGATCTTGTGAGAGGTCAGATGCAGGGAACTTGCATCTGGAAATGTGCTAGAAGATGGAAATATAAGTGGTCTAGGACAGAGCCATGAAGTACCTCACAGGTCCTCAGAAAACGACTGCTTAGTAAGAGAATAGACCTAAAGGAGCTTCAGTAAATTGCAGTTTATCATACAATATGAATAAGTAGTACCTATTACTATTTCTCTTCTCTCTTTAGGCAACAAAAATACCTACACAATCACACAAAAATGGCAATACCACGGCAGCACTAAGTAGATTCTCAGTGTGTGACCTAGAAACACCCCCCTGGGAGTGCTGCCATGGCCTTGGTGTAGTGAATCCAAGAGGCAGGCTGCACAGTGCTAAACACCTTAGGACGACCAGAAGGTCTCAGAGGTGATCTGTATTTGCAGTTGTCTTCCTCCCCCTTCTAAAGAGGCGGCGGCTCCTTTGAAAGAGCAGTTGCTTTACTCATCTCTGGGTTCTTGTAGCAGAGCGCTCTGCAAAAGGTGCTCAGTGAAAGCTGAATTACATATAACAATGGCATAAAATGTCTTGGGTTGCACTTTAGTGTATCTTCCTCTTTCTCGTGTCTGTTCCCACCACCCATACTTCTTATCAAGTGGTTATAAGGATCCCTGGTTTCCTCACCTACGATATAAAGTGGTGCAGTGAGGGAAAAAACCCAACTGTGGTCCCTTTCACAGTTGATGAGCTGAAGCCCCTCATTTCTGAGCCACAAGGGAAGTTGGCTAATAATGATTTCCCCACTTTGGAGCTCTTTAATAATCTGGATCTGTGCAACATAATATGGGGCAGCCCTTCTAAAGCGTGCTTAGTATTAGTAGCTTGTTAAAAGATGACATAGGTAAAAAGGGGGGGTGGATTCCATAGACGAACAAACTTGGGAAATGCTGGATTAATGTTACTGGTGTTCTTTACTGAAGAAGTCTCACAACACGTGCTCTGCCAAGATGTTTTAGGAGTCCTCAACAGAAGGTTGTAGCATTTCCCAAGTTTTGGGCCATGTTGTTTTTTTTGCTAGGAGCCCTTCCCTGGGACTAGTGTTCCACAAAAGAACATTTTGAGAAAGTTTCTGGTAAGAAATAGAAGAATTTCATAAGGAGCAATTCAGTGCCTTCCTGGATTTTCTGCCATGAGAAGCCAATTTTAGCAGCCAATAAATGGCTTAAGTGGACATTAAAAGGGTCTTTGATGCCATCTCATAATGTAATTACTGAATATGAAATAACGTTTTGGTTTTTAACCCTAGACTTGGAATGGAAAATTATCTATGTGGGCTCTGCAGAAAGTGAAGAATACGACCAAGTTTTAGACTCTGTTTTAGTGGGCCCTGTTCCTGCAGGAAGGCATATGTTTGTATTTCAGGTAAGACTATTCTTGGTAAATATATATGCCAAATACATTTCTAAACTCTAATCTCATGGTCCTTATCCATTTCCTTGTGGGTTAAATTACTCTGCTTCTGCTGTATTCACTTTTTATCTGCTTCTGATCCGCTGTGAGAGGTTGGCGTGCTCTCTGCTCCAGAGCCGTGCACAGCACTCAGTAAAGCTCCCAGTGTCCCGGCATATGCGGTGTTTAATTTGGGCTCTGCCTGTGAATAGTCCTGTAGTATCAGACTTTCAGGGGGACTGGCCAGCAGCCCAATATAGGGATCCAAGGCATACTACAACTGGCATAGTTAGTATAGTAATATGCATCTTCAGTTTATGGTTTTAGCCATTAGGAGTAATGATCACAAGAAAAACAACTTTCTTTCAGCATAATCAGTAATTGAGCTAGGTTAGTAAGTACATAGAGAGCTACTGCATAAAGTTGAATCATTGGAATTAAGGTCCAGTGGTTTACTAAAGCATCTAATCTGTACATATTATAGAGGATTACTGTTACAAATCTACTGCTGTTTATTATTTGTTAGGGGAAATTCTAATACAAATGTTCTCAGGTATCACTGACAGTATTTGGGTCTGTGCCAAGGCTTTAGACACTGTCTTCTGTATTCAAAGTGTTACTTCTTTTAATCCATGTTAAATTGTTGTATAAAGCTATTCAATCACTTCTGATTATCCATGCTTATTAGGAGATATTTGTAAGTAGCCCAAAGAGTAGCCATAGGTTGAAAACAAAACAAAAAAAACACTTCATTTTGTTGCAAGTATTTCTACAAGAGTCCCCATCAGTGAAGTAGAACCCACTGAAAGGACTTCATCCAGAAAGAAAATTAACTCTTCCTATCCCTAACCGCCCCCCCCCCTTTTTTTTCATTTCATAGATGGGACCAATTTAAATGAATACTGTTGGTCAGCTAATCCCATCAGATATGGGCCAAGAATTATAAACATATGGTATCTTGGTCTCCTAGCCTTAGTGCCTTTTATTAAAAGCCAACAAATAATTTGCTATGTTTAAACAAATGGTTAAATAAAACTCAGATATATTAGTTCAAATCTACTGATTAAAAGTGCTGTTAAGCCGATTTGGGTGAGTGCATAACCTTGGTGAAAGATGTGGGTACTAGAGAATGTGCAGAGGGAACCACTGCAGTTACAGACCTTCTTCAGATCCTGGCTCCGTTGCTTATTAAACACGTGCGCCTTTAGACAGGCGCCCTAGCCTCGGTTAGTCACTCTATAGCTGTCTATAAAATGTGGATAATACCTAACCTCATTAGAATGTTAGGATTAAATGAGGAATAAAGTAGTTAAGTGCTATCACTGACAAATAATGCCCTACTTCTATTATTAAAACTAAATTTTTATTCTCTTAAGTTCTTGAAATTGTTACATAAAAGCAGCAGTATTTGCTTTAACCCATAAGCTTGGAAAACCCATACATCACTGATGATAATTCATGATGTGGTAAGAAACTTGGATTGACAGGTAGTGATACACCTTTTTATGCTACCATAAAACCTGCAAATAAATCCCTTGGCTTTGAAACAAACCCTTAAATGACTTTTCTCTGTGTTTATGTTGTTAAGAACACTCTTAAGCTTTTGGCTTAGAGTGAATAATTAATTCAAAAATATTTCCCTCCAGTGATTTTCCAGTAGTTTTACATTGGTATCAGTGTTCATGTTGCCAAAAAGGACAGAGAAAGAAGCATGCGATTTAAATCAGATGGTCAGCCTGTACATTTACAGATAAGATGTCCAGACGTTTGCCTAGTACTGCTGGTTGAAGTTAAAAATCTCTACCTATCACTTTATCCTAAGTGATCTGAGAGGCTTATGGGTTTTTCTACTTGAATATGAATTTGCTGAAGTTGAATCCTTTAGCAAAAAAATTTTAAAACACAAACATGGCTAGCACCAGTCTACTGAGGAGATGGGAAGCACTGTGAGGGGAAGGTTTCCGTAGTAGTACTGAATTGCTTCTTTTTCCCATTTGCCACTCATTTCCAGGACATTAGAATCTTTTTGGGTAACCTGGAAGTAACTAGACCCCTCTGGGGGAAAGGGGACACACAGGATCTTTAAGACAAACAGTATATTCTCAGGACAGGCCCTTAGTCCTCCTGCCAATCTCTCTCCAGTTAGTCAGATTACTTCATGTCAGGAATTGAGTTAGAATAAATTTCAAAATACTAAGTATATACTGAGTGCCCAGAGCTATGCCAGACATGAGATTATAAAGATGAACTGGATAGAATTTCTGCTCAGTCCAGGCAAAGACTGAGGGTAAACATATCTATTTAGGTTATTGGACATACATTAGTAGATGTGTGTCAAGTAATTTTAAGTGCAAAAACAGAGTATTATTAATTCTACCTTCTGAATCAGAAAGGGGTTTACTGGAGTCACCTGGGTGGTTTGGTTGGTTAAGTGTCCGACTCTTGATCTCAGCTCAGGTCTTGCTTTCAAGGTTTTGAGTTCAAGCCCTGTGTTGGGCTCCACACTGGGCATGGGGCCAATGGGCTTCACTAAGGATATATTTCATACAAATTTTGTAGGATGTTAGGGAAGAAACTTACAGGCCAAAAGAACAATATATGCAAGGCACAGAGGCATGAAAGATTACCACTACATTTTAAAGAACTCTGTCTAATCCTAGAACAAGAGTAAGAGGTGTAGAATTAAATGGAGTGTGAATGGTTGAAGACAAATTGTAAAGGGCCTTATAAATGAAGTTAAAGAACAGATTTTTATCTCTGAAATGGGAGTAATCGTCTGGAGTTTTTAAAACAGGTAAAGGAATAGGAATGGATCTTTGCCTAGCTAATGTTGGCAGTAGTACAAACAGCAGGTGAGCTGGAGGATTCTAGTTAGAAAGTTATTCCAGTATTCCAGATAAGACATGAAGACATGAACTGAGTCTTCAGAAAGGAGAAATGTTGCAACAGGCTGGATAGGGGAGGTAGGGAAGAGTAGGTACTGAAATTTTTAGCCTAGGTCAATGTTTTAGCCTAGATAGATATTGTGTGCCTTTTTGTGTCATCTGCATGTGGTAGGTACACAATAATTATTATCTTTAATGACAATGGCTTGATAGAGAATGTCAGCCAGGGGTGTTGCTAAGCTATAGCACTGGCTGAAGTGTTCACCCAGGCACAGGGATGTTCTTTAGTGTCCTGGCAAGAGTCAGCTGATCTGCTGGGATGAGCTCCATCCCTTCAGCACTCAGAATGACTTCCTCAGGTCACAATCCCATGCCTCACTGTCACTGCGCATTAGCCGAGGCCTCCTCACCAGTCTCCTTAGTGCCTCTCACACTGCCATGCGTGGAACCCTAGCCTTTGCCCATGCTGTTTGCCTTCTCTAGCTCACTTGCTTCACCTTCTGCATTCCTCAAGATTCAGCAGCTTGATTCAAAACATCATTAAGTATATCTTCTTAAACCAATCTTTACCTTGGTTGTATTTCTGTAGTATGTGTGGTTTAAAAGTACACTATATTTTAGTGGCTATCAAAGTCATTCACAATAGATGATTAATATTTTTGAAAATCTGCTATAGAGCCACTTCTATCCCATTTTCAGTCTTACGTTAATTTACTATTAGAATATTTGTGCAAGGGTGGGAGAGTGGGTGTGAGAATATGTGTCCTGAGTATAAGAGAGAAACCAGTATAATAAACATTTGTTGCCAGCAGGCTGTGTGGAGATCATTGAATATTTACTAATTTAGGTTTAAAAATTATGACTGGAAATTATGACTAGAATCAACTAGACTATTGGCTTAATTGTTTGCTATATTTTATAAAAGGTTTTATAATTTAATATTGTATAATCCCATATGAACTACCATACAGTCTGACTAGATTTATCTTCCTATAAAAGTAGTGAAGTTTTCAGGTGCCCAGAGTAATTAGCTATATTGTGGAGAAATATTCGAACTATATTTTCTGACTATAAGTCAATCTCAAAAATGAGCATTTGCCTTCCCAGTATGATTTCCAAGTTTTTGTTGTTTTGCCCTTAACTGACAGTGCTGAAGGTAACCAGAATGTGTCTTGCTTGTAGTTAACAGCCTTTTGTGATGTGTTTCTTTTCTTTTTAAATTATTGTAGGCTGATGCACCTAATCCAGGACTCATTCCAGATGCAGATGCAGTAGGTGTAACAGTTGTGCTAATTACATGCACCTATCGAGGTCAAGAATTTATTAGAGTTGGCTATTATGTAAATAATGAATATACTGAGACAGAGCTAAGGGAAAATCCACCAGTAAAACCAGACTTTTCTAAGGTAATGACTATTTCTTTTTCATTACTTTTACTATACTTTTTTTTTTAAAGTAGATGCCATTTCATAGTATACTATGAAAATAGCTTGGAGACAAAATAAATTTGAGGTCCTTGTGCCAAATGGGCACACTAACCATTCCATTTCCATACTTGACCTCAGACCCTACCTCCTGATGAATCATTAGTAATTAATGTTGGTCAGGCACTTTCAGAGTCTCTTATGGTTTAGAAAGTTGAAAGTGCCTCCTCTAAGAGGTAGTAGTTTACAACTTTCTCTATGGCATTTCCTGTACATCATATATATTAGAGATGAAACCAAAGGTCTTAAGTATCTCTGGTTTTGGAAAATAGCTTCTGAGCGAGAAGCTGAAACCTGTGCTTCAGAATTACAGATTCTCAGAAATACTTCCTATTTTATGATTTTTTTCATTGGGACCTGACAGTTTAGTAACTGGTGACTTATGTAAGATTGAACACAACACTCCATCTGCCTGAGCATGCAAGAAAAATTACATGGGAGTAGAATGGAATGTTCTTTCTGATAATGAGGCTGGAATATTTAATCCTGGTATGGGACCTTCCAGTGACTTAATGTATTAGTTAACTGTAAGGCACCTTGTATAGCAGAAAACAAAAAACTAGAATACTATTTCTGAGAATGAACCATAATAATTAAAAGGTATGAAACCACTTATAATGAGAATTGATATTTGGGGAAATTTTTATTTTCTTTGGAAGTATTACTGAAGAGACACCATATCAACCCAAAAAGCATACTAATTAGATAAAGCATCCTGTGGAGAATCCACCCTCAAGAAAGAAGAGACTGTCTCCCTTTTAGGAAACAGAAGTATAGAAGGGTTAGATATTTTGTTGTTTAGTAAGAGATCTGGATTGAATACCCTCAGATCCTTCATATCCTCTCCATTAGTCTAAAGTATTTTTTTTGCTGTAGCCCTAGTCCTTGTGTATTAGTTACGTTTAAGGTGCTTCACTAAATTTTATGCCTTTGTATAAATTTTAGCCCTTTAGCAGTACTGATATAAAGAACCATTTGATTAAGCTCCTATTCATGTATATTTAACTTTCCTAATGTTGTCTGTTTATATATGTCCTTCTTCCTTTAGCTTCAAAGGAACATTTTGGCATCTAATCCCAGAGTTACAAGATTCCACATTAATTGGGAAGATAACACAGAAAAACTGGAAGATGCAGAGAGCAGTAATCCAAATCTACAATCACTTCTTTCAACAGATGCATTACCTTCAGCATCAAAGGGATGGTCCACATCAGAAAACTCACTAAATGTCATGTTAGAATCCCATATGGACTGCATGTGACCACCTGCCATCCCTTTAGTACAAATTAAGCTATAAAAACACACAGAACTATTTGAAATTCCGTAAGTACATAGTCGAGACACAATGTGAAGAATTTGTTTAAAAACATCCTGTAGAAAGTTTATAAGAAAACCAGTATTTGAGCAAATTGTGGAATATAAATACAACTATTTTTAAGTAATTTTTTTCTCTAATGTGTTATTTTATTTGTTCTGAAACTAATCTGATTAAAACATATATATTATTTTCTTCTCTGCTATATGTAATTAAAGCACTTATAAAGAAAAATATAAACCATTAGACCAGGTTGTAAAGCTGTCTTAGCCTTTTGGACAATAATCTTTGGACCACTATTTTACTGGCCTTCAGAAGAACAAACTTCTGACTTCAACTAAAATGTTTCTGTGATAAATAGTTTGGTTGAATGTGAGGGGCAAATTTCTATTCTTTTTGTCAATGTCCTTAAAGAAGGGATTTGAAGTCAACTATATGCTACCACAAACTTTAGGACCTGATTTTCTAGGCCACCTTGAAGCCTCTTATGGCAACTATTACACAGAATGTTAGACAGCATTCAGTTTGGTTTCTAAGATGATAACAAATGTGGTTGATTGTTCTTAAAGTCCTTTGTTTTATAACCATTTAGGACATCCAAATACTCCTTGAATCATCCATCATTTCTACCCAGTGAATTCAGCATGTCAAGAGCAGACGTAAACGCGCTAAGTTTAAGAATAGGATATTATAATGACTTAGATCTATTCATGAGATTTATAAAAATACAATGAACTTAACCCTTCAAAATTGACTTGTTAGATCATCTGTTGTTGACAGTGTTTATTTAAAAAAAAAAGTGGATTTGGGAAGGTGTATTTAGCTTTATCATAATAGATGAGTCACTATTTTGGAAAAATATATATTTTCACACATGTGGTACTCTTCTCCATATCCCTTGACACTCATGCAGAATAAGATTAGGCATATTTGTGGTTGATGTATTTTAGATAGCCTTTCCAGATACGTTTTTAAAAAGTAATCTTGGAAAGGAATCCATTAACTAAGTGGGCCAAAAGGTTCTTTTTCTTTGATGAGAGCTAGGTCCTTCCTCAAAGTTTCCTGTGCTTCATTAAATTAAGTGTAGAATATTCTCAATACTCTTGCTGCTAAGCAAGACATTAGCCATATGATACAGTTATGCAGTGCCTTTATATCTAAAACTTTTATACTGCACTTTTTAAAGCTTTTATTTTGAGGAAGGGAAAAGGGCATTTGTCTGAATGTGGAATTTAAGTTGTATATATTTCCTGTCATTCTAAAAAAAGAATTTGTGAAGGAAAATTTTGCTAAATGTTAAACCTTGAAATTTAATATACCAGATTATCAAAATACTGTCCACTAACTAGTTCATAGATTTTAAAAATAAAATACATCCAACTGTTAAAACTATATGAAGAAAATTTCATTTTTGTTTATTTGCAATTAAAGGAAAATGTTAAAATATTAAAATGAAAATAAAAGTAAAATTTCCGACAAAGAGCTCAGTGATTAATATAACAAGATATGGGCTTGTTAGAAATAAAGCATATATAAGCCAAATTACCAAATAAAGCAATTTACTGCTGAGTTTTTATTCCGACTAATTATAGTGACTAATTCGTATTAATACCAAGAGTTAGGTTTTTACATCAATTTGTAAACGGACAGCTAATTTTTACAAAAGGTTAAGACTTACGTTTTAAGTCTTTCAGAATTTTTATGATTCTATAAGATTTAGAACTCAAACTATAGCACAGGGGTTTTATTTTCCCCCCGTTTAGCTTCATTTAGAGACACTATATGAAGTATAGCTAAAATGTTTGGAATAGTTTTTTTCCTTTTTGATCATAGTAAATAGTTCATTTATGAAAAGATATGAACCAATTACTTATACCACAGAAGGCAGAAGCAAGTAGGCTGGAGGGAATAAGGGTATCAGTTGAGCTAGAAATCTGAGGAGCATGCATGCATTTGTTCATTTATAACCTTCTATAACCTTAGGCTTCCATGCGGTCTTATTGTTTGGTTTTAAGATTTGGGGTTTCTAATTTTACCAAGAAAGTCTATGGAAGCAATTTTTGAAATCCCTGATTTTTTAATCCCTGATACATATAAAAAAGTATATGACTCTGAAACACAAGTATTTATATGTTAATTTTCATGAAAATGCACCCATATAGTGCATCTTTATTGTGTGCAGCATATTCTGGTATCTTTTATTGTATTTCATTTTTAAAGTGCTGGTTTTGACTCCCTGAACTGGCATTTATGACTCTAAGGGACTGTGATATGCAGTTTAAAGAAAGGCTAGTCTGGCATTTTGAACAGATGAGACTTAGCAATAACTTTTCTTTCATTTTATATTCCCCGTACCTGTCTTTTGGATTATGATCTTGATGCTTAAAAAAAAGGGAAAAGTGCTAGTACAGTGAATCAGCAGCCATTCACTTGAAAACCGTCCAAATATTCTGAAGTTACTGGTAGCCCACCAGATAGCCTGGATGCATTTCTTGGCCCTCCATATAGTTAACTTACGAAACATTCCACATAATTACTTGGCAAACACTTTTGTTTGTTACCGGCATCATTTTATAAAGAACTCTAGAACCCTGGGTCATAAGAATTTTTAAATGCACATAAAGTGTTCTTTATATATTCTTGCTTACTATCCTTCCAGTATGCTGAACCTTGTCTATGCCTCTCCATTCACAAATCCCTTCTCATCAATGCTTAATGTACTATTCAGTTATATTTCAAAATCTAAGAGCCCCTTAGATTTCCTCATGTAGGGGGCTTTCCTCATGTAGGACCATTAATGCAGCATTTGCTGCTTTATGAGAAGTTTTATAGTATAAGTTTCTCATAAGAAATTTTAGCACAGGCTTCCCTTAATAAGTAGCAAAGAACATTTGTAAAATGTGTGAAACCAAAGGCCTATTATAGACAGAAGTACAGGAGAAATATTTCCCCAATCACAACAGTGTAAAATACAAAATCCCATTAAGACGGGCTTTCTAAAAATTTTCCTAAAGTTACTTTATAATCACATCCTGACATTTGATCTGCAAAGGCTTTTAAATGTACTTGAAGAATCATTGCAATATATGAATGACGCTCCACAATGCAGTGAAAGTGTGCTTTCCATGTATTAAGACAAATTTTCTACTGAATTTTCAGTAGGAGCTACTGTTGCCCATGAGATCTACAAGCACAAAAATGCCTCAAGCTCTATGCCATCGATCTACTTTGATAAAGGGAGATTTTTTTTTCCCATTTATCTCAATGTTTTGTTTACTAGGTCCTCATAAAATGCCAGATGGTGCATGCTTTTTCCACATTAAATAGGATCTTTCAAAACTAAGATGTAAAAAAATAAATGGGATAAGTTTTAGGAAAATTAAGTGAAAGTGGAGCTTTTAAAATATTTTCTTAGAGCTACAAAAGTAGGTGCTACATATTTTCTTTGATTTTTGGCAGTAACTCAAAAATTAGCTTGAAATTTATCCTATGTTAGGTACTTTTTCATCAGAAAAACATTGTTTATGTAGTAAAGTTAAATTAACTGAAATTGTCATATAAAATACCTGCACTAGTAGATCCAATTCCTGTGGTGAGCACAGAGCGTGGTGTAATCTTCGCTGCATACTTGAGGAATTGAGATTTTCCTGTGCCAGGATCCCCAACCAATAAAAGATGAGATTCGCCTAGAAAAAAGTTAGTAAACTTTCAAATTTCTATGAAAAGACCCATGAATTAAGTGTAATTAATCAAGAAGAAAACGGTCTACTTGGGATGCCAACACAATTTACATTTTATGCTTCTGCTATTTACTTAAGGTCATTTAAGGACAGACTTAACCAGTTATCTTTAGAAAAGTTAACTATCATCATAAAAATTTTAAGTGACTTCTGAATATGATATTTATAATCTAATAGACTTTGTGCTATTTCCAGATGTTCAGGCATATGCCTAACATTTTAAAAATTTTTGGCTTATAAAGTTTCTGATTTTATTTTTTATTTTAAAGATTTTATTTATTAGCGAGAGAATACGAGCAGGGGGAGGGGCAATCAGAGAGGGAGAAGCAGGCTCCACGCTGAGCAGGGAACCTGTTGTGGGACTCAATCCATGGACCCCAGGATCATGACCTGAGCCGAAGGCAGACACTTAACCAACTGAGCCACTCAGGCACCCCTTAATCTATTTTTTTTTTTTTAAAGATTTTATTTATTTATTTATTTATTTGACAGGCAGAGATCACAAGTAGGCAGAGAGGCAGGCAGAAAACCCGATGTGGGACTCGATCCCGGGACCCCGAGATCTTGACCTGAGCCGAAGGCAGCGGTTTAACCCACTGAGCCACCCAGGCGCCCCCTTAATCTATTTTTAAATACCAAACTACTTGGCTAAATCTTTCCAAACAAGCCATACAAATATTTTATTCCATTTTTATTTAAGTATTTTTAAGTGTTAAGGACTTTATAAGTGCTTTATAAGTATCAAGTCGCTTATGATTATAACAGTTAAATGAAGACCTTTTCATTTTATGTAAATTATAGTAATTTAATGAAATAATCTACCTTAAAGTACTTATTTTCAAATGTAACAAATGAACATATAAGTATCTTTTGGTATGTATTATCTCACTGATCAATTTATTCATCAATTTATTCAGTTATACTCAAGTATTTCCTAAATACATTAATAGGAAACTCCTTCTTATGCTCAACATTTAGCAGAGTGCCAGAATGTGATCAAAACATACAATACATATAAACTTTTTATACTTTCTATTCCATATTGTACCATATGGTTTTAGAAATCTTACTAACAGCCTTGTTTATAACAATGTCCTTTTAGTCTTTGGTTATTATGACCCTCAAGTGGCCTATATAATGGCCATAATAAACCTACTTTATGCCAGATTCAGGTCAGTTAAATGTGTTAGCTGCAAAAGAGCTTTCTGCCATTTGAACATAATTATACACTTAGAGTAATCTTTGCTTGAACGTATGACCTACAGCAGCACCTCACGGCAGATGGCACTTCTGCAACCTACCAGCGGAAGGGGAATCAGCAGGCAGATGACTGAGAGCAACAGTCTGAGAGAAACACACTGACAGTCACAGATGGAGAGACACTGACTTGGAGACCTTAAAAAGCACTATCTAATCTTTTCCTCTTGAAGACAGACTGGGGATCCAACGGAAAAGATAGTAATCAAAATGTAAAGATTTTATTTTGTGGCACCTTTACAGACTGGAGCAAAATTAGATGTTCCTCAAAACACTTAAAATTTCTTTAAGTCTTTGGAATTCTAGAAATTACCTTTTGATATATAGATGCTGGACTAAGTATTGGGCAACTGTCAGCTTTAAAAGATTATGGTTAGTGGGGCGCCTGGGTGGCTCAGTGGGTTAAGCCTCTGCCTTCAGCTGGGGTCATGATCCAGGGTCCTGGAATCAAGCCCCACGTCGTCGGGCTCTCTGCTCAGCAGGGAGCCTGCTTCCTCCTCTCTCTCTGCCTGCCTCTCTGCCTACTTGTGATTGCTCTGTCAAATAAATAAATAAATTCTTTAAAAAAAAAAAAGATTATGATTAGAAAATAAAGCTCAAAAAGTCATTTTTATTCAGGAAAGGAAAATTCTAACTTCTTACCTTGTATGTATTAACATTTCTCCAAAAAGTTTTAATAGGTACTAACCTCTGACCCGTGTTCCTGTAGCATCAGTCCTTTGAATCCCACCAGCCAGCACCAGGGCCACAGCAAGCTTTACTAAGTACATCCCAAAAACCTGAGGGCACAAGCTGGCCAATATTTCATTCCTTCCTAGGAAAGGCAGAAAGGTCAGATGTTACGAACAGTTTTCAAGAAATCCTATCTGAAATTTCCCTTCTTATCCTAACTTCCTAGAAATATACCCTGCCATCTAATATCAAGAGACCCACTTCCAAATCCTACAAGAGTAAATAACTGTTTTGGTCCTAAAATTCCTTCTCTTATTAATGCCACGATAGGAAGTCTGCTTTTTTATTCCTTGCTTTTTATTTTTATGCCTGCTTAAGTTTCCATAAATTTATCATACTTTACAGGGACAGAAAGGAATCTCCTTTATTCCCTCATTAAGCCAACATTATCCCTTTAAAATACCATTGTACTTTACTCCACTGCCTAAATAAAATGAAGGTGCTCAATCTAAATAAGTCGGATTGCAGGACCCAGTAATCTTTAAATACAAGAGGTACTTGGAGCTCATGGAGCTTCTCCAGAGGTCTAAGAAAGAAGTAAAATAATCTACCCTGTGAGTCAATTCAGCATTTGCTCTGAACAATTTGGTAAAGTCTCTTTACCTAGAATAAGTTACCAGGGTATCACAGTATTAAAAAGATCATATAAATTATAATTCTAGCAATCCAAGAGGGAAGTCTCAGATTCTTCTGATCATGTGTTGTTGTTTAAGATTTTTTTTTATTTTAGAGAGAGAGCATGAGCAGGAGGGGTAGAGGGAGAGACAGAGAATCTCAAGCAGACTCTACACTGAGCATGGAGCCCAATTTGGGGCTTAATCTCAGGGCCATGAGATTATGACCTGAGCCAAAACCAAGAGTCACGGGCTTAACCAACTGCGCCATCCAGATGCTCCTGATCATGTGCTTTATTTTTAAGATTTTTAAATTTATCTTCTTGACGGTGGGGGAGCGGTCACAAGTAGGGGGAGCAGAAGGCAGAGGTAGAGAGAGAAGCCGGCTCCCCGCTGAGCAGGGAGGTGGATGCAGGGCCCCATATCAGGATCCCAGGACCCTGGGACCACGGGATCATGACCTGAGCCAAAGGCAGATGCTCAACAACTGAGCCACCCAAGTGCCCCTGATCATATGCTTTTTTTAAAAAGATTTTTTATTTCTTCATGTAACAGAGAGAGAGATCACAAGTAGGCAGAGAGGCAGGCAGAGAGAGAGGGGGAAGCAGACTCCCTGCTATGCAGAGAGCCCGATGTGGGGCTCGATCCCAGGACCCTGAGATCATGACCTGAGCCAAAGGCAGAGGATTAACCCACTGAGCCACCCAGGTGCCTGATCATGGGCTTTAAGTAAGAAAATATCACTGTTTGAGTTTGTTTTCAGAAATGCCAAAACACCAAATCTGATAATCTGCCTGTCCCACATATAAATAAAGCAGGTATTTCATTTGATCACTGGCCTAATTAACCAGCAGGGGCTCTTAGAACCTATACCATCCTAACAAGCCTGTCCTAAGCTTGTCTTCACTTATGTGGAACCCGCTACTGTGATGGTTCTCTCCACATGCTGGCAACTAATTTGTGTGTTTCAGGGCTTCCATGTTTGTGCTCATGTTTCAGAGGCAGCTCTATTTGAGGAGGAAAATAATCATGTAAATATTTAGCTGATTATTCCAGTTCCAGAAGCTTTTCTGCCAAAGCATTAGGGAAAGGAAGAGGGCTTTGTCCAGAATTTATGGCCTTATGCACAAAAGCTCCTTATTGTAATGAATCAGAATTGATCCAATGACAATGTAGGGTGACATGACTTGGGATGGCAGAAATGTGAAGAAAGAAAATCTTTTAGTAAAATGAGAATCAGAAAAAAGAATTAGTAAATCCTAGAAGGCAGCTCCTTAAGCACCAAAGGGAATCCCTCTCTTTCCTAAGGACGAAAGCCCAAAGGAAAAAGAGGAAGAAGGTTTGGGATCTAAGCAAATAAGACATTACAGCAGGTAGGTAAATTCTGACCAGAATTACACACACAAAGAAAGAAGGAATAGCCCCAACAAGCAGGTTTAGGAGTAGGCAAACTGACCTGGGAGACTTCTGTGCCCTCTGTGCTGAATAAAGGTAGATTCAGTGACTGATGTGCTAACAGGAAACATATCCCAGTGGTAAAGAGCACAGGCTCGGGGGTCAGAGGCCTGGATCACATCCCAGTGCTACTACTTACTACCCATCTGACTTTGGGCAAGTTTCTTAACCTCTCTGCCCCTATTTTCTTATCTGTAAAATGGAATGATAATGGTATCTTACAGAACTGTTGAGGATCAAAGGAGTTAATAAGTATATAGCACATAGAACAACACCTGACACACTTAACTGTTAAGCTATTATATTACCTCTATTACTTATGCTTATTTCGGATCTCAATGTTTACTCCCAAAGTAGTTAACACAAAAGATATAAAGTGAGGTCTGAAGTACCAGAGAAGAATAAAAGGGAAGAACTATTCCCTTAAATTTGTTGTCTAAAGTTCCTTGAATCATGGCGATAGAGGCCATGGCTGTACCATGGAAGAGAATGAATTAGAGTGAATACGCCCCCAACTCTAGCTCCCTCCCAAATTTCTGCTTCTAGACCACGTTAATCGTGTGTCTAGAGCCTACCAGCTCATTCTTGTGGCATGGCCCTCAGTTACCCCAAGGAGAATAGGACTTCTAGATCTTCCCAGATCTGAGTCATCCCTGAATCGGTTCACATGGCCCAACAGACCCCAATCCCTACATTTGGGTTTCTATTCAGCATCTAGGCACCAGGGTCAGAGGGTCCCAGATGTTACTGCAGACTGGAACAAAGTCTTCACCTTCTAGACAGTACCAGTGTCAGATCTTAGTGAAGCAGATCAAACTCCAAGAGCTGAGGAGTGAAATCCCTGGCATTAGACTAGCAAAATGAAGACATCCTTCCAGATACAGCTGTCCGCTTCCACCACCCCTTCCCTTATTTCCCCCAACTAGCACGCATACACTTTGAATTGATAAAGTACAGTACTGGTACTGAGTACTCAGAAAACTAAGAAAGCAGAATCCATTTGCACTAAAAAAACATTGCCTTGTTTTCTCTCTCTTCTTACTTATGTTTCTTATAAGGTCATTATATTTACTTCTTCCTTTTATCCAGTAAATGAGCTGTACATCCATAACCTTCTAATTGAAACAAGATAGACTCTTGAATTGACAGCACAAAGCACTTCTCTTGGTCTGGGTAGAACACTATATGATCCCCTTCCTTCACTGTAACAGGAACAGCTGAGCTGTGTGGCACTGCAATTAGTAAGAAATGACTGTGGTCCAAGGAAGAGTTACAGATTTTTGTGAGGACCCGACCCTAAGAAACAATTTTAAATACAGAAATTCCTTTAAAAATATATATGGTTCTTAAAGGGTTTGCTTAATAAAGCCACGACATAGAGAGCCCCACTTTAGTATTTAAGAATAAAGTAATCAGTATGTGTGAGACTTAAGATGAAGTTTATTAAAAATAGTCTATCACAGGCTTCAGTTTATTTTTCTCAGTAGATGCCTCCAAGGAAGAATGAAAACAGACATTTGAAGATTTAACCGGTGTTTTATATCTTTGGAATTTTTAAATAAAAAAATATTCTATGAACCTAAAGGCTGTAATGTTTTAGTTTATGTATCTTACTGCCACAATCAAAAGTTTTTGCTGTGATGACAAAGCTTATATTTTGCATCCTTCTATCTCTCATCACTTCTTTCCTACTGACTACATATTTAAAAATCTTCAGTTAATGGGATGCCTGGGTGGCTCAGTTGGTTAAGCAGCTGCCTTCGGCTCAGGTCATGATCCCAGCGTCCTGGGATCGAGTCCCACATCGGGCTCCTTGCTTGGCAGGGAGCCTGCTTCTCCCTCTGCCTCTGCCTCTGCCTGCCATTCTGTCTGCCTGTGCTCGCTCTCTCCCTCTCTGGTCCTGGGATCGAGTCCCACATCGGGCTCTCTGCTCAGCAGGGAGCCTGTTTCCCTCTCTCTCTGTGCCTGCTTCTCTGTCTACTTGTGATCTCTCTCTGTCAAATAAATAAATAAAATCTTAAAAAAATATATATATATTAAAAATCTTCAGTTAAAATAGTGTGAAGTTGTCTTTATTATCTCAGGTACATGAGAAAAGAAGACTTTCATAGGATGACGTTTCATAGTAGGATGTGTCTTGTCTACTTACAGAGGAATTGTATATTTATTGGTAAAGAAGGGAGAAAACTGGCAGTATAAGAGATGTCTAAAATAACAGAAATGGAAAATCTCTTGTAATCCAGCTTTTATTTTCCAAAAGATCTCTAAATTAAAAAAGACTATACCAGCAAAGGGCTCTTCAAAAGGAAACTACGGCTAAAAGTACTGATGACTGCTACCACCTTTTGAGTTCAGCCATTGAGTTTTCTAGCATGCAAGGCTCCTCCCAATCATAGACCTCATATTTAACTACTTAATGAAATGCCATTAATAATTATCAGCTTTATACCTTTAATCACAAACCTGCAAATGGATCACTTTTATAGGACTCCCAAAAATCTTCAAATTCCTTTTGGACCTCCTCATCCATGATGATCCCTGCAGACTGCTCATTATTTACTTGGACATAATTGGCTTTCAGGACTATCTCCACTTCACAGCGCACATCTTGCTGAAAGGGCTTCCACCGTTGCATTACAACTCCGTAAATAGTGAGGTCATCACCTAGGAGAGAGCACCAAGTAGCAGCAAAGTCCAGGAGGAGCACACTGCTTGCTGGGCATAGACTTGCATCACACAGATCCAGAAATAAATAAACCACTCTCCCACCAGGTTTAGAATAGTAAACACTCCTCCAGAAAACAATATGAAGGCAAAGGAACACCACAGGTTTCCTACTTTTCCCTTCTGTTTTGGTTTGTTTTTACAAGCACTTGTATCTTTAGCTAAAAGCTAAAGTCAGCATTTTTGTTTTTCTTAATCTACCACATGATAATCACAGCAAATTATTACCCTTCACTGGAAAAATAGCTTACCAGATGATTTATTAATTGTTATTATAAGGGGTGAAATGTTCATCTTCTAATAATCCCTAACCATATAGTTCTCATTTAAAGAATATGTAGAAACTGCAGCTGGAAGGTTAAGCTATAATCAGTTTGGTGTCAGGAAAGGAGACAATCTTGTGATAACTGACACTAGTTTTAGTTTCTTATATATTAATTTTTACGTATCCTTTATTGATATTTTACTTACTGCCTTAAAAAAACAGATGAATGAACTAAGAAATAAGTGAACACTGTTTTACTTCAAAGCTCTTTTTCATAAACTATGAAAGCACACAAGATAAATCCTGCTTGTTCCTTCTGGTTGGTTCCTTCCCACCTGAGGAAATTCTATTACTGGTGATCAGAATATTAACCTTCTACAGGTTTTCCTAGGAGGCCTTGGGTCTTTCATGGGCACATTCTCCAAACATTAACATGTGTGCTTATTATTACATACAATTCAGTGCATCAATTAACAGGTATATATGAATGAATGGTTGGCATTCGGTATTTTGGTATAAGAGATAAGGGGGCCAGAAGAAGAAAAGATAAGCCTAGTCCTCAAAATCTTATTGAATATAAATGTTGGACATACTCCAAATCCAACATGGTATTTATAATCTGTGCAATAAATAGCGTCTTCTGAACTAACTGGCAAGTCTTCATTTTCCCTGTGTCAAATACATGGTATTTGCTGACGCAAAATGCCTTTTACTCTTTAAGTTTCAATGTGTAATGTATAATCTGCAGAGCTTTTGATTTTCTAAAGAAAGTGTTCTGTAAATGCTAAATGAACGGAACTGGTGATAGCAATGACAGAACAGAGGGCTTATTTCTAGCTAAAGGCAACTTTATAATAAATGGTGACAAACACATTCAGTAGGTGCTTTGCCTGTGTTTTCAAGATCTTTCGAAGCCACTGCTTGGATGGTTTTCAAACTAAAGCAAGAATAACGATCATGTACTATATTGTTTGCCCTAAATTTTTAGGTGAAAATGACTGGGGTAACTTTAAACGAGCACTTGGAACAGTCCTTTACTATCATTTTAATGAATTATACTTAGGTTGTTTCTAAATTAGTCAAATAGAAACTTTACTTTTAGATACAGCACCCGTTATTGAATTAATCAATAACTGATTATTGAAGTAATTGACTTCGATAGCAGTGATAATGTGAAAAATGTAGTGTCCTGAAGAATGGCTAAGAGCACTGATTTTATCAGATTTGGGTTCAAATCCCAGCTCCTCCACTCACTGGTTATGTCCTAGGGCAAATTATCTCACTTTGCTGAGCCTACAAGTTTTGACCTACAAAATGGAAATAGTTATATTTATGTCACAGGACCACAGTGAAAATTAAGTCAGAAAATGTTTGTATATTACTTCTTACAATATCTAGAATATAATATACGCTCAACAGCTAAGTATTAGCTATTACACTAAGCCTTGTTAAACTTTTCTGTAGTAAGTCATAAATGATGTCATTTGCAGGGAACTACAATTCTTACTTTGTAGCAGCCTCTGTCTTTGTGCCGCTTCATCTTCTGCAGCCCATTTACCATGGCAGCCACCCCCAGCCGGACCCGTCTCTGATCCCCTGCTGCACTGGCAGTTATCAGGACACAACCTCCGACTTTACTACTCTGCATGTGTCAGATTGGGGTTCCCAACCAGACTATAAATTCCTGAAGGGTAAGGATTATGCCATTTATCTTTTCATTCTGCAGAGGTTTGTAGCAATGGATAAATGAAAAAAGCGCTGTTGACAGACACTTCCATCCGTTATTATTAGTGACATCTGAAAGAAAAATAGCTTAGATTTTTTCAGTGCAGAAAGAATTCAGTTTAGATGTACTGCATGAAAACATCTTATTTTCTATCAAAGGATACTTTCATGTTCATGCTAAGCTTACATAAGCACTACTTTGCTGATCCAGATATTATAGGTTTTGGTTAAAATCTAGAGTCCTATATGAAAAAAGAACTTTGCCACAGCCTGGTCCATTTAGCAGGCAATCCATGATCAAAACTTATTTCCATGGAGTACTGTTTAGACAACTATAAACTGTTAATATATTTGACATAAATTTCGAACTATAGGTTGGTGATTCTTGGGTGGATGGGGGCAGTCTCTTGACCAAGAATTACTTTTGACCCTAGATACTGAACTCCTGTATTTCCACAGTTGTTTGCCTCATTGTTTTAATGAAATGGCAGCTCATAAATATTTTACAAATGAGGCATTTGGAGAAATCTATGTTAAAAGAAAAAGAAAATGGAATTTGGAGAAATTAAGCACTTTTGATCTGTCTGGTAGGAGAGAACAGGGATGTAGAATAAGAAATTAGACATACCTCTTTCTGCCAAGGGACACATTTGTGCTATGAGTTTTCTTTACAGACTCAGGGTGAGTGAGATTAAGGTCTGAGTAAGAACAGGAAATACTTAAAGCAGGGAATGTTGAGGTGAATTAAGAAACAATCGTAAATACCCAGCTGAAGTTCACCAGCCATTTCCATTTTCTGACCTACCTTCAATATAACCTAAATGTTAAAAAGCAAGTGGAGGGGCACCTGGGTGGCTCAGTGGGTTGAGCCTCTGCCTTCGGCTCGGGTCATGATCTCAGGGTCCTGGGATCGAGCCCCGCATCGGGCACTCTGCTCAGCAGGGAGCCCGCTTCCCCCCCCTCTCTCTGCCTGCCTCTCTGCCTACTTGTGATTTCTCTCTCTGTCAAATAAATAAATAAAATCTTTTTTTAAAAAAGCAAGTGGAAATTCCTAGGCAAACAGTAAAAGCAACAGTTTTAAAGTTATTTGGAATAAGAAGAGGAAAGAAAAAGAATAAGCTCTCAAACCTTCATAGACACAGGTCTGGTCAAGGCCTTGGGAATGTGTATGGGGAGCAGAAGCTGCTGGCTTTAGGGGCAGGCTGCCATCTGCCTTTTGTAGGGCTGGAAACAGTAACCTCAGAGAAACTGACCAAAGTTTCACAGTTCTAGGATAACTTTTTTAGGGACTAAAATTCTGGAAATCCAAAAGACTTTTCAACTCCATACTAGAGTCTTCAGTGCCTGTCAGTTTTGGTAAAAAGTTTCTGACTAAAACTTTCAGATTACCCCTTTGAAGGCAATCCCCTCGGTGTCTGAGATCTTTACCTTTAGCCAACCAGTGCCATGTCAATTTTACAGCCCTAGCTTCTACCAACAACTGAAAAAAAGCTCCCTTTATTCTCTTATTCTTTCTTTTCACATTACATATGTAAAATAATACATTTGTTTTAAAAACCCTTTTAAGGGGTGCCTGGGTGGCTCAGTGGGTTAAAGCCTCTGCCTTCAGCTCGGGTCATGATCTCAGGGTCCTGGGATCGAGCCCCACATCGGGCTCTCTGCTCAGCAAGGAGCCTGCTTCCCCTCCTCTCTCTCTGTCTGTCTCTCTGCCTACTTGTGATCTCTCTGTCAAATAAACAAAATCTTAAAAAAATAATAATAATAAATAAAAATAAAAACCCTTTTAAAATATCAAATTTTATTAAGAATATTTCATGATACTTAAATGTGGCTATTGCGGGGTGCCTGGGTGGCTCAGTGGGTTAAAACCTCTGCCTTCAGCTCGGGTCATGATCTCAGAGTCCTGGGATGGAGCCCCGGGCGCATCGGGCTCTCTGCTCAGCAGGGAGCCTGCTTCCCTTCCTCTCTCTGCCTGCCTCTCTGCCTACTTGTTATCTCTGTCAAATTTAAAAAAAAGAAAAATGTGGCTATTGCAGAAGAGAGTACTTTTTTAAAAAAATTTTTTTAGAGTACTCTCTTGAGCAGCACTGCTGATTTACAAAACCCCTTATTAATTTTTCCAGTAAAACTCGTCCCTACCTACTATATTCTTTATAAAAACAATAATTTTAAAATTCAATGTAGAACACTTCCATTCTATACATGTGGGCTGATATTAATCCTTGCCCTTCCACAAATACTTTTTTTTTTTTTTTTTAAGATTTCATTTATTTATTTTAGAGAAAGAGAGAGCGAGCACAAGCAGTGGGAGGAACAGAGGGGGAGGGCAAAGGAGATAATCTCCAGCAGACTCTGCCCTACGCAGAGAGCCTGACACAGGGCTCAGTCCCACAACCCTGAGATCATGACCTGAGCTGAAACCAAGACTCAGACACTCAACTGACAGAGCCACCCAGGTATCCTTTTCCACAAAAGCTTTAATGTTTGATTCTTCCCAGGCTCCCCAATGAGAACAAGAGCAGCGAGATGAGTTGAGATAGGGCAAAAGAAAGCTATGAGTGGTCTGATTAGCCTCAAAATCAAAATATAACCAAGATGACATCGCAATAAACCCTTCTGGAGCCCTCAGATTTCCAGAACAGCTCTGAGGCTCACAGTCTTTGTTTTGCCAAACATTGTAGATCATCCAGACCAACTGCCATCATGAGACCTAAGTCACTACCAAGATGCTGTACACCCTATGCTCGACTGTCTCTGGGAAAAGAAACTCAACATCATCTGAGTCCCATGGTGAACCCCTTATATTATTAGATATTGAGTCAAAAATCTACCTTCCTGGAGCTTCAGCCTACTGAACCCCAATAGTATAATATCTTCTGTAACAGTAATTCCATTTCTGTATGACAACCTTCCAATTAATGAAAAGTTGGCTGTCATGTCCTTCCTGAGGCTTCTCTATGCTAAACACCCACAGTTCTTTTCAGTATGGTTTTCAGTTCCTTCCCAATTCGGGCAATTGGCCAATAGAAATACTGAGATCCCTCAGAGGACAAAATCAATGTGACTCCAAACGGGTGTCACCAGCACAGAGGAGAGAGGAATAATCACCTACTTTCTTCTAGATAGCAATAAGAGTACAGTAACATCTGACACAGTCATACTATCTGATGCATTTTATTTAACCAAAGGCTAAATCTACTACAATTTTTAAAGTTGCTGCTGTTAAGCAAGGATATACTGAAAAGACCAAAGTGGACAAAAGTCAATAGATCTGCGTGCATATTCTAGTTCTGCTACTTAACTCTCCATGTGACCTTGGGCAGGTTGGGTTCTTCAATTTATAAAACAAGTGGCTGGATAGGAATGCTAAGCCAGCTTCGTTCCTGTTATGTATCACCTCCCACCTCCACATGAGTTTCTATTCTCAAGATGAGTAATTAAGCCTTCACACTCACTTCCCAGTGCTCTCAGGAAAATAAAAAGTTATATAAGTTATATAAGCTAGCAAAAGCAAATTCTCACCAGATTTGCAGCTGTCTACTAAGTCATCTTCCAAGATAACCTTCATAGATCGTGGAATACTTCCAACAGATAGCCTTTGCACCTAGCAAGGAAAAGCAGACACATACTGAGTATGCTTAAATACATGCTTACTAGAAGCCTAGCAGTTCTTGAAATTACTGTTTCTATTTCCCTGGTATTATCATACAATTAATTTAATTATGATTGGGATTTATAGAATTTTCTTGAAAGTTGTGCTTATTACCCATTTACAAACTCACTAAAACCAGAGTAAAATAAAAACACCATTATGGAAAAATATCTCCAAATATAATCTACCTTGTGGATGGTCAAAATAAACATGCACTCCAATTAGTAAACATAATTACAAAGTTACTTACCTAGAAGACACGTAGTTTTTTCCTGACCTCTAGTCCCAAGACTTGGGACCAGTCATGGTTCCTTTGATTATTCCTTAGTGACAGAACCCTGTTTTTATTCCACGTGGACATGTACATAATAAAAAGACTATATTTCCCAGCTCCCCTGCACCTAAGCATGGTCACATGACTAAGCTCTGGCCAATGTAATAGGAGTAGAAATGGTGTGAGACTTCAAGGAAGATGGCTTGAATGGAGACTTGGGGTAGATGGCTGATGCTGTTGTCTGTCCCTCCACTTCCCTCCTCCCGGCCTAGCATACGGCAGTGACAGAGCTGTAACTACCATCCTGGACTAATAATAGAGGCCATGTGTTAAGAATGGTGTATAAAGAATGACATGAGTTTGAGTCCTCAACGCTGAATGCGCCTTTGTGTTTCATCGGCAAGTAAAGGAAAACCTTGCACACTCTGACATGTTAAAGAGTGTCTATGTATGCCTTAGTGGACCAGCAAATACAATTTAGGCCTAAATCCCAAATCCTGACCACTCCAATGTTTAGCAATCACTTAAACCCATTTAATTTTTCTCCTATCCCTTAAATACAGCTTGTTTGAACTTTTTAAATATTCACTTAATTTTAACATAATTATTGTCAGTCCACAACCCTTTTGCCAATGCTTTCTATACAGAGATGATTACTGTATGTCTCTAAAGACTGTATTCTGATATATGTGCAACTATACTGTGTGATGACACAAGTTCCATTTGTTGTCCTGTATTGGTTTCCTCGTCCTGGTAATTTGCCCACAGCTGAAAAAACCTTCAAAGTTGTTATTTTTCTCATTTATCTGATCATTTACCTGTTCTTGAATTTTGATTTCCTGATAATCTCTACACCTAGTTGGAGATGAAGACAAGCCTGAGAGGCAAGTGAATTTTGAAGAATCACAGCTCTCCAAGCTGGGACAGGAGGATGGCCGGCAGAAGGTATAGTACTGCTCAAAGTCAGCCTTGACCACAAATACATGTTTGCATTTGTTACACATGTAATCCCGCTCAAACTCCAGGATCTTCACCAGACTTGTTCGAATTACTGTCCCAGTGACAGATAAAAAGTGTCCCACATCCTTGGTTTTAGGGATGTGCTCCCTCACCAACTCAGGACAAACAGGCAAACCTAATGAGAGAAACAACAAAAACCCATCAACTTACATCTTGGAATTTGACTCCATGGAATATATTCTTTTCATATTTCCTAGGGAAGAAGGTGTAACTTCAGAACAAAAATTTGAGTTCTTTTTAAGAAAAAAAAAAAAATCAGATCAGCTCAACCAAGAAAAGAGAAAAGGATTATTTTGAAAAACAACGATCAGTGGACTTTTTCTAAAAGTACATATCCAGGAGCACCTGGGTGGCTCAGTTGGTGAGCACCTGCCTTCATGTCATGATCCCAGGGTCCTGGAACCAAGCCCTGCCATCAGGCTCTCCACTCACTGGAGAATCTGCTTCTCCCTCTCACTCTCCCTCTGTGCTCTCTCTCAAACAAATAAAATCATTAAAAAAAAAATAAAAGTGTATATCCAAATGACATAATAACCAGAATTTTAAAAAGGGCTGGTTTTCATAAGAGGGCCGTCACAGTAGAATCTAAATACAGCATGTAATTGTAACCTCATTCAACAAAAAGCATACTACCACAGGCAACACATAAAATCAACTGATGACTGAGTAAACCACAAAGCTGAGTGATAAAGGGAGGGAGGGTAGCATAACGACCAGATCCCCAAGCGCTAGAAGGCTCTTACTTTTTTTAGTTAGTTTCAGAATTTATTAATATATAAATCTGTTTCCAAGCCTTGAATCACCTATAGGTTTAACCATATCAGCACCATTTATCCCTTAAAAAACTTGTTTTTCACCATTAATGAACAGGCAACTCTTTAAAAGGTACAAAAGGCCAAAGAAAATCCTTTTTTTTTTTTTTTTTTTAAGATTTTATTTAATTTATTTGACAGAGAGCAAGCGCCCAAGCAGGGGGAGTGGCAGGTAGAGGGAGCTTAAAATAAGCTTTAAATAAGCTTAAAATATAAAGATAAGGCCATATGTTAAGCAAAAGTGACCATATACAATCAAAATCTTAACACTAAAAAAGATGCTAAGACAGTGTTTTCCTAGAAATGTAAACTTATTTTAAATTTTCTGTCTTACTACATATGTTACTAAGTATGTTCTTCAACAGTACCAGAGAAAGGGTGGTGGTGGTGTGTGATGTACATCAAGCCCCGCATCGGGCTGTCTGCTCAGTGGGGAGCCTGCTTACCTCTCTCTCTGCCTACTTGTGATCTCTCTCTCTGTCAAATAAATAAATAAAATCTTAAAAAAAAAAAAAATCCCAGAAGACAAAGAGCCACGTATATCCTGTAAAAACAAACCAGAAAATGTCTTAGGTTCCTAAGGAGACTGAAACATGGAGGCAACCTGTTTTCATAACTGAATGCCTTTCCTGGAGTCCAAGATGAAGCTGCAATACACCTAAAACCAGACTACTTCCATCCCTGGATCATTCTGCTCGGGACACTTCCATCCCTGCCTGTGAATCTGCTAGAATTCACTCCTTGCTCTGTGGGCTAATATATCTTGCACCTACCACAAGTGAGGCATGCATCACACAACATAAAAGCTGCCACTAAGTTCCTTTACAATTACGTTTAACATGCACATAGACAGGTAGCTTTGGGCATATGAACACCATTGGTAAATAACTGACTATATAGCTATCTCCCCTACAGCCTTGAGCTTCTTTAGATGAGGGACTATACCCTACTATTTTGGTTTCCCAAAAGACTAGCAAATGCCTAAACTTAATATGTTTGTAGAATGAATGTGCCATGGTAATAACATAATTTTATGCAGTTTACTTTTTCAGAAAATTAGAGAAAAAAAAAAAGGCTAAATTTACCTGAAACCAATAGGGTCACCTAGGCGGACAAAATTTTGATATTTAAGCTAAGCATGGAAACATATTTAAACATAAGGACAGCCTAAAACTAAAACCATTCTTAAATACCATTTCAGTAACATTAACTAAAATCCCTTTTAGCAATCTTTTTGCAACATTATTATAAAGTAATATTTGTTCTTGATCCTACCAAGAGATTATCTAGTGTCCTAATGCTTAAAGATTTATAATATTCCTAATTTTATTCTAGATAAAATACTTTTTCAATTAAATCAAATATATGGTCTTTTGGAGGGGATCTTAATTAGTCTCCAAAAAGTTCTACTATACTGACTCATCTTTTTCGAATCACAGCAAGCATTGTTGTTGATTATAAATCTCCACCTTTCTGAAATGTACTATAAAGTATTTCTAAACAAAATAGTACATGTGTACTCCAACTTAATCTGCGGTAATTTAAAGACAGAGCTTTGCCACAAGCTGATTGCTCCACTACAGCATCTTAAAAATTAAGATACTTAATCTGTCATTCATTCGACAAAAACTGAGTGCCTAAACAGGTGACCAGCATAATACTAAACTTGAAATATAAAAATAGTAAATTTCCTAAAATTGTTTTGAAGACCACAAGGTAGAATGTACCACTTTCCTAATTCTTGGTATGATCAATTCTTTTGTTAGTAGTCACAAACGCTCATAAAGCTGTTCTGAATTACAATTTTATACACACATATTGATGTATGTATATGGGCACAATAACATAATGTTGTCTCCATACAGTCTCCTTCCCCCCGGTTGGCATGGATAATATCCCAGCCTTCCAAATGTCCAGAGGAACAGTATAAAATCATTACTCTGCTCTAAAAGTGACTATCAACTACACAATAAATATATTTTTAAGTATAAATATCAATTATGTCTTAGTGCTCTGAGTTCAATATGTGTTAAAATTTCTCAAAATGTTCCGAGAGAGTAAGTAGCAGTAAAATCCTTAAGAGATTTACCTGATATCCTGGCATGAAGGTTCTGCTTCATAGAGGCACCTTCAGGTTGAGAAAGGGACTGGAGAATGGTCAAGGCCGATCTTCGCAGAGCACTATCAAAAACTGTTAGTACTTCATTCGGGAATGCATTGAAATATTCCCCAATTTCCATGTTAGTCTCAAAAAGTGTCATGGCATTAACTACAACTGGGTAATGAGCATCTTCATCACTTTCCTTCAAGATTAGAAGAATATCATTCTTATGGTATTCCGAAACATAGGATTCAAACACTTGACCAACCAGTGTAACTTGATCACTATTCATTTTGAATCTAGGTGATTAAAAAAAAAAGGTGATTAAAGAAAAAGACCGGATTATAACTTTGATATTGTGACTTAGACACAAGTTAACAAAAAAATAACAAAACAAACGGGTTGTAAATTGTTATGGGCCACACTATAAACTCAAAATATTATCTGAATTAAAATCTTAATTAGATCTGAATTACCCGTTACAGTCACTTAGTAAATGTATTTTTTAAGAAAGTGAAGCTAAACCAAAGTCAAAGAATTCTCTTTATACTGATCATTGAAATCCAAAATGGTCCAATGGCTTTCCCTTATCTTTTCCCCAAACTTCCTCATTAACCCTGTGAAATGATATGAAAAAGTACTTTCCCCTTTTTTTAACCACATTCTATATACACATTTGTTCTCAGGTATAAAATCTTAAACAGCAGTCTTTTGGCTAACATTACTTCTTTGCATGTGTTGTAGTTCTAGGTTTTTTTCATACAAAGAACATATCCTCCTTTCTCTCTTTCATTCTCTTTCATTACACACATACATATTCATGGGTTTTCTGCTACATAAATGGAACATACATGGATAGCCAGTTCTGACTTGAATAGTTAACAGATCTGCTTCAGAAATTTACATTTTGAGGTGAATTTGTTTCTCATTTTCTCCTCCTAACCTAGGAAACCTATTGGCTTCAGCAAAAACAGCTGTCAAGAGTGTAAAGAAACTAGGTAATTAAACTGAGGAAACAAAAGGAAAATTGGTCTTTAAATGATAAATAACTAGGACTGGAAAATAAATATACTATATTACATTACTTCACCTATCTTATTCCTCTGGCAATATGTATTTTTAAAATTTGTACCTACAGATTAAAAGAACCTACCCCCATTCTGTTTTCATGTATACAGACAGATATCTATCATACTAGTATACCATGCTGGGAAATAAAAAGCACAATAAAACATCCTCAATGCCCTCAGAGAACCAAGGGACAGATCAAATCAAACAGTGCCCTAACAGTGGTAAAAATGTAGTATGAATAGGAGTACAAAGGAGAGGATTAAATTTAAATGGAGTGACAATCATGAACATGGCAATGGGCAGTTCCAAATAAATGGCTGAAATCGATGATCTAAGAAACTTTTATTTGGTTTGGAAAGAGAACTGGAGGACAAGTGTGATTTAATTTGACATTTCATTTCACCCACCATTTATTGTATTTGGTCCAACAAACAGACGATAGAAGATGACTTATGAAGTTCACACAGGCTCTTTAATATTTTGCCTTTTGGGGAACCTACTATTCTAGAAGGTGTAGAAGAAATAAATGGGTATGTGTCATAGGCCAAGAATTCTCACAATTACAGGACACCAGTGTGAGACTGACAGATGGGTATACGTATATCCAGGAGAATGAGTGAGAACAAATTATCGCCACTACACTGATAATTTGTTTTGATTAGGTAATATAAATTCAGTCAAGGGTAAAGCAGAAAAAGCACTTGGAAATAATTGATCCTACAATATATCCAGATCATGGTCTTTGCTTAAAACAAACAAATAAAAACAATGGACTCCCAAGAGTTGCTACAAATGAATCTCTAAGATTCTATAAATGCATATTAAATTTGGAGCCACAAGTTGAGCAATTTAAAAAACAGCTCCACATAGGGCAAAAAGGTAGCTGCAGAGTTCATGGTTCAAATTAAAGTCAGATTAAATTCTGCCTAGTCTTTGCTGAAATGGCAGCTTTGAATAAAGAAAAAAACAGCATCCTCTTTCAAAATCTGCGCAAAACTGTTCAACTCTAAGCAGTTTGCTACCCCTATAAACATGCCCACCCTTATTGTTCTACAACCTTCAAGTTCCCTTTCCTTTTACTTATTGAGTGAGGTCAAAATAACAACGACGTGCTACTTCATCCTTTGGACCGCCTGAAGCGTCCACGAGAGTCAGGAGAGCTACTAAGCTGCCACTTCCAACTGGACCACCGGGAATCCCCGCCCGCCCAGCGGCCGCGCCGCACCCACCGGGAGCCCCGCCCCCTTGTATATCCCCGCGGCGCCGCGTCCCAGGACCCGCCCCTCTCGCCGGCAGCCCGCGACTTCCAGGCACCTCCTCCCCGCCCGCCCGCTCGACTGCCCGCGGGCGCTCGGCAAACGTGGAGTCGGGTTGTACTCAGGGGGCTGCTCTTCCGTCTCTGGACGCAGCCCCTGCCCTACGAAACCTCAGCAGGACTCTGACACTAACCGGGCTCGGCAACCCGGCAGCTCGGTCGCCCGACCAATCCCGGAGTTGAATAGTTTGGGAACTAACAGATGTGAGCGAGACTTAGGACGAACTGGGGGAGAAAAACATAATAGGAACGGGGAAACGAGGCTGCGACTGTCACTTACTGGCGGGCACGAAGTGTCGGAAGTCACCAAGACACGCTGCTCCCGAGACCAAGGGGCGCGGAGAGCTCCGGCCTGGCGGCGGGAGCTCGAGGAGGCCGCTGGGGGCGGGGCGGGGCGCGTGCGCCGGCTGCTCAAGGCGCCGGCCTCGGGGGCGCGCAGGCTCCGACGGATCTGTGTCGGGCCTGGGCGAAATAGACACGGCGCCGGCTCCTCGGCCGGGCCCGCGCACCCGACCGACGCCGAGCAGCGCACCGCCTCAACTTCGCCGTTCAGGTGGCTCTTCCGGGTGGAGAAGCGGGCGGGCGCGCGCCCCGCCTGGTGCCGCGGGACGCGAGAAGGTGGGGCGGTGGGCGGGGCCAGGAGGGCCGGGGCAGGGCCCGAGGAGTTCCAGGGCGGGGCCAGGCTGAGCCTCCCGCCCCAGGTGGAACCCGGAGAGTGGGGCTGTGCAGGGCGCAAGCTGCCTGGATGGTTCGCGCTTTGGGGCTAAGAATTCCGGCAAACACAAGGTCACAAAGATTTTTTGCTGTGTTTTCCTCTATAACCCTCCCCCTCATATATCATATTCCCCACACACTCAAAGCCTCCGTCATGTCAACATACTCAACAGAGTTGTGCATTTGTTGGAGTGAACATACACTGAAACATCATCATCACCCAAACTACAAGGTTTACGGTCTTGTTCGCTCTTGGTGTTGCACGTTCTATGGGTTTTAACAGATGTAGTATAGTAACATGTATCCACCGTTGTTGTATTATGCAGAATAGTCTCCCTGCCCCGAAAGTCTGTGCTCTCTTCATCCCCTCTCCCACCTAATCTGTAGCAACAACTACTCTATTTACCGTCTCCATAGTTTTTCCTTTTCCAGGATGGCATGTATCATTGACACAGGTTTGAATTGTATGGGTCAACTTATACTTGGGTATTTTACAGTCCTGGAAATGTATTTTCTCTTACGATTTTTTTTTTAAGATTTATTTAAGTAATCTCTATACCTCACCTGGGGCTCAAACTCATGACCCTGAGGTCAAGCATGGCAAGCTCTTCTGACTGAGCCAGCCAGGCATCCCTCCTTATGATTTTTTAAATAACACAACACTTTCATTTCTCTAGCTCACCTTACTGTAATAATACAGTATATAATATGTATAAAATATGTATTAACTAATTGTTTATCTTATCAGCTTCTTGTCAACAGGCCTTTAGTAATTAACTTTCTGAGGAGTCAAAAGTTATACATGGATTTTTAATATGGAAGGGGGTCAACCCCAACCTCTGTGTTGTTCCAGGGTCACCTGTAGTTGAAATCATACAGTATGTAGTTTTTTCAGGTTGTCTTCTTTCACTTAGTAATATATATTTAAGTTTCCTCCATGTCTTTTCATGGCTTGATAGCTCATTTCTTTTTGGTGCTGAATAATAATCCATTATCTGGATATACCACACTTTATTTGTCCCCTTACCTACTGAAGGATATCTTGGTTGCTTCCCAGTTTTGCCAGTTATGGATAAAGCCAGTATATTTATCCACATACAGGTTTTTGTGTGGGTAAAAGTTTTTAGATCCTTTGGATAAATACCAAGGAGCATGATTGTTTCTTGAATGAATCATATGGTAAGGTTATGTTTAGTTTTGTAAGAAACCACCAAAATGTCTTCCAAAGAGGTCATACAATTTTGTATTCCTGACAGTCATGAATGAGAGTTTCTGTTGCCCCACGTCCTCTCCAGCATTTGATGTCAGTATTTTGGATTTTGGCCCCTCTAATTAAGGTGTGTAGTAGTATCTCATTATTATGTTAATTTGAAGTTTCCTGATAACCTATGATGGTGAACATATGCTTACTTTTCATCTGTATATCTTCTTTGGTGAGGTTTCTGTTCAGATCTTCTGTTTATCTTTAAATCAGATTGTTTTCTTACTGTCTAGTTTTAAGAGTCCTTTATCAGATGTGTCTTGCAAATACTTCCAGTCTGTGGCTTATCTTCTCTTTCTCATAATATTGTCTCTCACTGAGCAGATTTTTAGTTTTAATTATATCCAGCTTATCAATTATTTCTTTCATGGATTGTGTTTTTGGTGTTGTATTTAAAAAGTCATCACCATTCCCAAAATCATCTAGGTTTTCTCCTATGTTTTAGACTTTTATAGTTTTATGTCTTACACTTAGGTCTGTGATCGACTCTGAGTTAATTTTTGTGAAGGTGTTAAGATCTGTGTCTAGACTGTGTGTGCACACATGCTTACACACATATGTGGATGTCCCATTGTTCTAGTACTATTTGTTGAAAAGACTATTTTTGTTACATTTGTCAAAGATCTGTACTGCCTTTTGCTCCCTTGTCAAAGATCAGTTGACTGTCTCTACTTATGTGGTTTGTTTTTGGGTTCTCTATTCTGTTCCATTAATCTACTACTCTGTCCTTTCACTAATACCGTATTGTCTTGATTACTGGACCTTTATAGTGAGTCTTGAAGTCAGATAGTGTCAGTCCTCCAAATTTGTTCTCTTTCAATATTGAGTTTTGGCTCTTCTGGGTCCTTTGCTTCTCCATATAAACTTTAGAATCCTTTTTGTCAACATTCATAAAATACCTTGCTGGGATTTTGACTGGGATGGAATGAAATGATAGATCAAGTTGGAAAGAACTAATATTTTGACAATATTGACCCTTCCTATCTATGAATATGGAATATCTATCTCTCCACTAATTTAGCTCTTTGATGTCTTTCATCAGAGTTTTGTAGTTTTCCTCATATAGATTTTGTACATATCTTTTAAGATTTATACCTAAGTATTCCTTTTTGTGTGGGGGGATTCTCATGTAAATGATAATATGTTTTTAATTTCAAATTCCACTTGTTCATTGCTTATATATAAGAAAGCAATTGACTTCTACATATTTGTATCCTGCAGTCTTGTCATAATCACTTATTAGTTCTAGAAGTTTTATATGTAGATTCTTTCAGATTTTTACACAGATGATCATGTCATCTGAAAATAAATAGTTTTATTTCTTCCCTCCCAATCTCTGTGATTTTTATTTTCTTTTTTAATTGCATTAACTGGGACTTGTAGTATGATGTTAAAAGCAGTGAGGAAAGGGGACACCCTTGCCTTGGTCCTGATCTTTGTGGAGAAAGCAAGTTTCTCACTAATGAATATGATGTTAGCTGCTGGGATTTGTGGTAGGTGTTCTTTATCAAGTTGAGGAAGTTTTCCTCCTTTTCTAGTTTGCTGGGAGTTTTTATCAGGAATGAGTGTTAGATTTTGTCAAATGCTTTTTCTGCTTCTATTTATACAATCCCATGATTTTCCTTCATTAGTCTGTTGATATGATGCATTACAGTAACTGATTTTCAAAAGCTGAAATAGCCTTGCCTACCTTGGATAAATCCCACTTGGGTGTGGTTCCTAATTCTTTTTATACATTATTGGATTCATTTGCTAATATTTAATTGAAGATTTTGGTATCTATCTTCATGAGACATATTGGTTTCTATTTTTCTTATAATGTATCTGTCAGATTTTGGCACTAGGGTAATGCTGGCCTGAGTTAGGAAATATTCCCTCTGCTTCTGTGTTCTAGAAGAGATTGTAGAGAATAGGTATAGTTTCTTTCTTAAATGTCTGATAGAATTCACAGTAAGCCCAGCTCTTTATGTTTTGGAAGGTTATTAATTATTGATTCAATTTCTTTGATTTCTAATTCAGATTGTCTGTTTCTTCAGCTGTGATTTTTTTT